ACCGTTGCCACCCCATTTTTCGTTGGGAATTTCATGCATAGGTGGTGGATGGAGGTGACTGCTCCCAATTCTTTTATTGCTGGCCTACCTAATACTCCATGGTAGGCCGATCGACTATCGACAATGAGGAACTCCATGAAATTCATCATAGTTTGGGGAGACTCTCTCATCTCCACTGCAAGTGTTATCTTTCCCTTTGGAGTGATGCCATCTCAGGTGAATCCATACAGAGGAGTTGTGGTGGGTGTTAACTGATGATCCAATATCATCTTGTCAAAGGCGGATCCGAATAAAATGTTGACAGAGCTACCGTTGTCAACTAACATTCGCTTGAGCCCATTTCGAGCTATGACTGTTCTCACAACAAGTGCATCGCAGTGGGGGTAGTGAACTTCTTCGGTGTCCTCCTGGGTGAAGACAATGGGTAGAACTTGGTTCCTCCGGGAGCTGCTGTCCACAATGTAGCTTGCCAAAGGGGGGTGTTTACCCTCCTGGGCGTAATTTCTTTTGGCGTTTCGTGTCTCACGGTCGACATATGGGCCTCCAAATATGGTATCTATCTCGTGGATAGGGCCCTCATCCTAGGCTTGTCGGTTTCTTCGGTGCCTACGTCCTTTCCCAGGCCTCTTCGTATCACGCTCCCTTCGTCATGGGGAAACATTCCTTTGACGAGGAATAGCCTCCTCATGCCCACGTCGGTTGTCATGCCTGGGCGGGGGCCTATTCGCCTGGGACGATTCATTTCTGTCCCTGGGGGGTTCCAACTGGGAGCGGTGCGCATAGTCTCGACAATCCGCTGTGTCGTGTCCGTAGGACCGGTGGTATACACAGTATCCCGGTGGGTTTTGATTTGACCTATTTCTAGGTCCAGAGCCTCGGCCTCGACCTCTCCCTCTACGGGATCCTTGTGGGGTTTTCATCTGCCGGGTGTCAGTAATTGGGTTGATATCCTTATATGCCAAGGTAGGAACCGCGTTCAAAGTGGTGGTGGCAAGTGCTTGGCCAAAACTCTCATTTCCAGCCTGGTTTATTTGGTAGTCCATCAGGTGGGATGTTGGCCCTCTAGCGCGCTACCTTTGAGGAGGTGGCAGGCCTCTACTTGCCCTGTTCCTATGCTCAATCAATTCTTCATTGATGATTTTCCGCCTCATCATCTCGAGTAGGGCATCATAGGTGGTGGGATCTTGATTTTGCACGTCCCTCCAGAATAGGGTATTAATGTTCAAACCTCCTCTTAATGCGAATAGTGCCTCATGGTCGGTGACCTGCATACAATACGTTATCTCATCAGTGAAGCGTGATAGGAAGCTCTTTAGGGACTCTCCATGTGCTTTTCTCATGTCTTGGAGACGTTGGATGGGGGCCTCTCCCTCTTTACTTACCGCGAACCTCTTCAAGAATGTTGTCTTGAACTCGAGTCAGCTTCTTATACTACCAGGTGGTAACCTGCTATACCAAATTTCAGTTGCTCCACTAAGTGTCAAATGGAAAGCTCTACACTTCACAGCTGGGGTGGCGTCCCTTAGGCTTAATGAGTTTTATAAGCATTTACGTGCTTCTCTGGGTCGCCTCTTCCGTCATACTTTGGTATCTTTGGCATTGCATAGTGGTTTGGAACCTAGGCACTCCTTAGTTCCCTCGAGAACGGCAAATTCTCATCGTCGTCGTCCAAGTCACAGGATCTCTGCTGTTCATCTGAATCATATTCCTCGACCTCTTGCCGTGGTTGTTGGTGAGAGGTTCCGAGACGGTTCATAGTCTCTTCCTCCCTCCTCTGGTGCCTATTTTTAGGTGGAGCAACACTGGGGACATTTTTATGCCTTTCCTCCGGCTGCTAGGGCATCGGAGGTGGAGGCGGTGGCCTTGTCCAAGGCTGGTGTGTCTGCTGTTGCCTAAACCTCGGTTCAACGTGGCTAATTCTGTCAAATACATTGCTTGCCCTCCTATGTCTTGACTCTTTCTCATACGGAGGTGGGAAGTTATCATGGTTTAATGGGTTCTCAGTGGGTCGGCCAGAAGCGTAGTTGGAGGAAACATCAACTTCCACTTCCCTTTCAAATGGGCTCCTACCTTAGCTATAGTCCGGCGAGGCAGTTCTATGACTTTCAATTTCGTCTTCTTGCTGGTAGTGCCCCTGAGGGGCGTATGGAGGAATGGGGAAGCTTCCCTGGCCTTGCATTTGGGCCATGAGCTCCCTCATAGCCAAGTTTTGGCTAGCAATATCTCTCATGTTGGCCACCATGGCAGCCATTTCTCTTGACAGTCGTGCCGTCCCGTGCAATCCACCTCTTCCTTGGTGGTGGTGGAGTCTTTGGCGAGCTGCTGGGGCAGCATGTGGAGAAGGTACATTTGCATTTTCTCTTACCCACCTGGGGGGGTGTCTTCGTTTGAACTCATTTTCTTTTCGTCTGACTCTTCAGATTTTGTTAAGTTGTGGGGCTTCCTCTTGTTCTTTTTCAAGAACAAATCCTTTTTCAAGGGGGATGCCCAAGTGCTCTTCAATAAGCTTTCACTACAAGGTTGTTCATGGTTATGGTATGGTTTCCCACAGACGACGCCAATTGTTGACTCCAAAAAGTGTTGCCAACAGATGCTGGACCCACCTGCGCACACGTGAGCGAAGGTCTTACACGCTAAGACACATGGATGGTTTAGAACGAACGAATCAGGGGCGTGAGAGTAGCTCAACGACACGGGACGAGAACGTTCGGAATTCGACGGCATGTTCTTAATCCGATTGCACAATAATTACCAATCGGTGCTCATGGATGTGCATGTAAATGTGTATGAACTCGTATAGTGTTGTAAGATAATATGAAAGAGAGATAGTAAAGTATGGTTTCTTGTATTGATTATTGCATAGTCCTTCAATGTTACACAAGGGAAGTATTGATAGTGGTACATGTGAAATGACAACCATTGGATGAGGTAGCACGTGACCTCATCTCTTTAATTCAAACATTCAATCCTAGGCATCATCTCTGATTTGCTAGCTTGCTGCGCATTTATTGCTTATGTAGAACCCTCATGCTAATGACAAGACTTGACATGTACACTTACGACAAACGTTCCATCAATCATTCTAACAAGATCTTTATGCAGAAGATCTCTTGGAAAAAGTGATAATGGAAGACGTTCCTTCATGGTTCGGAGGCTTCTACTACTTACGTAGTACTTCCGATTTAGGGCTTCGGCTATCTTCACAGGCCTCGGCCATACAAACCACCTCGACTAGAGCACCACGTAGTTTGAATCGAGTGGGCCATAGACCCAAGTAGGTTGGCCAAATATGATAACACGTAACACTTAATATGTTATCTTCTTCATCTTAGGATTGGATGGTTTTTCTTGCCTTCGATGAAGAAAGAAGTTTACCGCTGCCATTGGAACAAGAGTTGCTACGATTTTTCGAATGAGCCAATTGAGGAAAACTGGATACGGGTGGGGGTGTTAAATAAGTCATTCAATTGAAAATAATTTAAAAAGTTTTTATTGTTATTCCTGAAAATTATAAGTTCACTATTATAGGTCATTCTATTGGTAGATTTTAAACTTACTTCAAATATTGAGGCCCATCATAAGTTTATCCACCAATAGATTTATATGATACGTCATCGGTGTTTAATATAAGATAAGTTGCAATAAAAAAGTAGTGTACTTCCTAGATAAAACTTGAACACTATTTGGGGATTTAGAAACATAATAAGGTTGATTTGCCTAAAGGAAATTTGAAGATTGAGATATTCAAATTTAAGATGAGTTACTATAGATCTGGATAGTTGTTTCCATTGGGTGAACCCAATCAAACTTGAGTTAAAAAGGAACAGATACATTGTGAAAGCAACCTTAAAATAAACTCCCAAGTGAGAGATTGAATATCAAGTTTGGTGGTACGCATATCACGAAATGAAAATAAAATAATTAACCATTGAGGATCATGATATAATTAACCTTAAGACTTATGGTGATTGAATTGACTATGTACATATATCGATCGAGAATCAAATAAGTAAAAATTGATATCGTGTCTTAGAAGCCTCTTATGATTTGCTTGAGTAGTTTCACATTCGAGAAGATTACGACAAGCTATCTAATGAATTGATTTTTAATTATATTTGCTCATGTATTTGAATAGATAATCTTGTTTGAGACGAGCAAGAGTACAAGTTTGGTGGTATTTGATATATGTATTTTACACGCTTGTTCGTGCTTACGAACTTAATAAATATTTAGAGTGAATTTCTACTTAATTTATTATAATCATCATTATTGTTGGTAAAACCCAGATTTGAAGGTAATTGAAGGGAAAAAAGAACGATTTTAAGTCCACTTGAAGTTACTTTCGAGCAATTGAAGACTAATTGAATTGTACATAATTGATAAGAAGCATTAAAAGATTAATCGGAGAAAATTCACAAGTTATGGAGAGTGAAGTACAACTTTTATATGTAAACTCATAACTTTTTTTCTACTTTTAGTCATACATCGTCCAAAACAAACTTTTCACAAGATTTATTTCATAAATTTGACATCCAACATGTTTAAGCAAGAGCAAACTCTATTGTTGATGCCTTCCCTCATGTGGTCATGCTACAAAAGATTATTACATCTCGACTGCATTTCAAAATTTTAAATTTAGTCCAAGCTGATGCTTCTATTTTCATTACCTTCCCAACCAAGGACTAGATGATGTTTTTTTTTATTTTTTAACTCATACCACCACTTTGTACATTAATTGAAAAATCGATACAAAGATTTAGCTCATATTTGATGAGGGTTAAAATCAGATTTTAAGTAAATTTGATAAAAATTGATGAAACATGCGTTAAAAACTAAAAAGTTGTAGGTACTATAAAATGCGTGGTTAAAATTAATGGTTAACTTAGATTAAAATTTTAATTTTAATTTCCACCAAATAGGGCTTAGTTTCTACTGGGTGAATAAATTGGGGACTGATGCTGAAATTTTCTCTTGTGATTAAATACATGAAGTTCGCCAAATCAGGTTTCGGGGTTTATACTGTTTTATTTCAGGGTTTTGATCGATAAAACCCTTCGCCCGCCCTCTAACGGTTCTCTCCCTGTACACACACACACAAACCAGAGCTTCAGCGACGTTCAGTCGTAGTGAGAGAGCGAAAACTAAGAAACAAGCATGGGTTCAGAAGCAGGAATACAGGCAGACTCGACTAATTTGAAGTTGAGAGAGCTTCTAAAGGAGACGCAGCTCGATTATTCCTCGGAAAACACTAAAATCATCAACGACGTTGTTTCCGCCCTCAAAGAAGCCATTGATCAAATCCCTGAAGACTTTCAGGTATGTGTTCTCAAGATTTCACTTAAAAGTCTTTCAATTTACTTCGCTTTCTGAAAAAGTTTCGATTTTTCTTTTTGTACTGCGTTTTTTTTTTTTTTTTTGGTTTGCGTAATTGATTTAATTTTATGGGTTCAACTTGTGTTTATTTTAGGTTAGAGCTGACCTTTTTTCTTTTTTCTTTTTTTTATGCTTTGAAAAACAGTTTGCAATTTTGTTGTACTACGTTATGGGATTAGTAATCGTTTTAATTGCTCTGGAATAAGGTTTTGAATGTACTGTACTACTGTTTGTATTTCTAATTGGTTTAATTTTATGGCACAACAATCATTGTAGGTTGCAGCTGACACGGCGCCAGGATTTGTTAAAGACATTGGTGCTGATAAAGTTGAATTCAAGTTCAAGAAACCTAAGTCTATAGAAATTGGGGGCAGTTATTCGTTTAAATGCGCTGCTAAACCGGATGTACATGTTGATCTTTTTCTCAGATTACCCAAGGTATTTATTCTGTTCTTTATTTGAAGAGGAAATATTTAGACAGAGATTTTTTAAAAACAATAATGCGGACCCTGTTTCCAGTTAATCCTGTCAGTAATGCATATTTAGGCTTTTTATTTGACTCTGAATTGAAAATCTGCAGCATTGTGTATGACAATAGAATTATGAATGTATTTTACAGGCTTCAACATTTTTATAAAGATGTAATTGTACTAGGTAAACATTATATATTTTGAGGTACGATCGCTATTCTTTTGTTGGAAAACGAACTTGCTTATAATGTCCAAAGGATTTTTACTGGTAAATCAGAAGTTATTTTGTTGACACATCTATTTTGAAATGAACTAATGAACACTAATAAAAAGATGAGGTGGAGTTTAGCCACTGGACAAATTGAGACAGACACTGCCCACTATACACAGATTCTTTGTTGCTTCTCATTATTAGTTGACTGATCTTTTGAATACATGCCATCGACATTTTCCTGTTCACTGCATTATGAAATGTATCGTCTCTACAAATTGTGCTTATGATTGACTTATAATAGTTGTATTAGGGATGTAATATATTCTTAGAAATCGAAAGTTGCAATTTTGCGGTGTTACGACTAACTAATGCAAAAATACTCAAGTGAAAAGAGAGAGAGAGAGAGAGAGAGAGAGAGAGAGAGAGAGAGAGAGAGAGAGAAGGGAAGTCGAAACGTGGACGTACCTGGTTCTGCCTAATGAAACCTACGTTGATGGGTGAAGATGATGAATTCACCAGAAACAGGAGAATACTAGGACTTGGCACACTTTGATGCCCAATTCCTTGCTGCAGGACAATGGGAAATTTGCTCATGTTATCAGTTTAATTGCAACCTCTATGTACAGGCAGAAGCTGGGTTAATGTCACTCAAAAACCGGGCTGAGATTTTACTGCACTGGAGGGTGGGGGTGTGTGTTGATGTAGGCATTTGTTTGCTTTCTTTTTGGTACCCTGCCCTTTGCTTTGCAGACTAAAGCCCATTTTTTTCCTTCAAATTTCTGTTAACAAATACTGGACCAGTTCAGAGATGGGGTCCAGATTTGATGCATCAAGCCTATTGCCAAAATCTAATGAAATGCAAGAAAAGGTAGTCTTTGTATGGTTTAGTAAGGGAAGAATTAAGATTCCATAGGGAGAAAAGATTGCAGATAAATCTTGACTGGAGAAACTTTGGAAAGTTGATTTCTTATTCATCGTAAATATCAACTTTGAGAAAATACTTTACATTTTCCTTCCGGGCCTTATGTCCATGGTAATGCTGCAGAGCTTACATGCTGCTCGAATTGACTTGGGGGTAGTATTTTTGGTATTACAGTACTATGCTTCTTATGAAACAATTAGAACTTCTTGATTATATTTTGCTTCCATTTGGGTTTCATTTTCTTCTCTTTTGAAGTCAAATATTAATTTTAACCACACATTTTGTAGGATTCACAAGCACTACCCATTTATCAACCACTCATTTCTTGAAAGTAGAATTTTAGCAAAATAAAATGAAACTCTAACGGAGGCTGCTATTGTTAGAGTGAATGCTGAGCAGTTTTAACTCATGCTTTTGTGCATACAACTTTTTTTTTCTTGGCAGGAATGCTTCTATGAGAAAGACTATCTAAATTATCGCTATCATGCGAAAAGATTTCTGTACCTCTGCATCATCAAGAAATATGTAAAACTTTCTTCTATCATTCAAGAAGTAAAATGGTCAACTTTCCATAATGAGGCCCGTAAACCTGTGCTGGTTGTCTATCCAGGTCTGTAGTGTACTGAACATCGCATTCCTTTCTTTCTTTAAATTGAGTTGTTGATCTTCGGGCCAATCACTTCTATGTCTGCATGTTTTCCTATATTTTAGCTGCACGGCTCTCCGGAAATGCTGCTTTTTGTGTCAAAATAATTCCGACATCCAAATCCATATTTTGTGTATCAAAGTTGAATTTACAGAGGAACAATGTTCGCTCACTAAATCAAGGTATTGGGAGTCTTTTTCATGATACATACCATCTTTTTTCTTGATTTTAATTGCTAATTGATTTCTGAACCTGCATTGAAATTTCAATACAGAGGGTGTTTTACAAGCTACACCCAAGTACAATAGCAGTATATTAGAGGACATGTTTCTAGAGGATAATTTCGAGTTTGTTAAGAGGACTTTTATGGGATGGAAAGAACTGGGAGAAGCATTGATACTGTTGAAAGTAAGACAGTATGGTGATTGTGATTCTGTTTGTGTGGCTCCATGCTATTGAGATAGAATGTCACGTTTTTGTGTCATATTACAGGTTTGGGCTCGACAAAGAAGTTCGATATATGCTCATGATTGCTTAAGTGGATTTCTTATAGCAATCATAATGGCATACCTTGCATCAAAATCTAGTAAAAACCGCATCAACAAATCAGTGAATGTAATTCAGATTTTGCGCATCACACTGGACTTCATTGGTACGTGGCTCTCTTATATATGTGCCTTATAGCTGCATTCATAATGATGATACATGTTTACTTCACATTTTCTTGCACATGTTCCATTGATGGACATAAATTTGATGTTGATTGGTATCAACGACAGCGAAATCATGTAACCTGTAGTTGTTACAGACTCCTAGGATTTGAATCTTGATTTAAGGTGCGGTGACTGAATACTTGCATTGCATAATGTCTTGCTAATTATGTTATACTTAATCGGAGTTCCCCCAATTGTTAGATATTTAATCTTATTTTAGAATGGAGAAAAAGGAAAGTGTCAAGGGTTTGATGCTTGACATTTGACTCAGTAGTACCAAAGGGGATACATTTATATCTGAAATGTTAAAACTATTATTGCTTATTGATAAAATTTAGACAGCTACTTATCTGCTATCTTGATAGTCAGCCATGTGGTTTCCTTCCATCCTTGTCGTTTTTAGTTTTTCAGTTTCTTTAAATTTTAATCTATGAATCTCTTGAGGTTGAACTAGTATTGAATTGGACGTGCTGGTTAAACTGTTCAATGAAGTAGATTCATTGAATTAATTGATTACCATCTTATGTAGTTGATATTGGCTAGTAGATGAAGAGTATATGACAGTTGCACTAAACCGAAGAGAATATGACAATTGCACTGAGCCTTTTTCTTAAGCTGACAACCTAATTTCAAGTTGAGTCTGTAACAATGCGACCAGCTAAGCGCTTTAAACCATACTCTTACTACATGACGTTGGAGGAAGTTAGAGTGGCAGTCCCAGTTGAATAATCTTACCTGACTAACTATTTGCTCTTTTAGAAAGTTGTGTATCAACAGTATTATTTATAATTAGTCATAACTATCAGTTTGTCATGTTCATCTTTGCAGCCAATTCAAAAGTATGGGATCATGGGCTCTACTTTCAGCCTGAAGTTGAAAGCAACATTTCAAATAAGGTATTGCCCTATATTTCTGATCCTTTTCATGTTATTTTAAGAGCTTCATCAGCTTCTACCAGTGTATTGCTTCCATGTTTCTTTTTATAGCTAGCTTCTTCTGTAAGATCATGATTAGGGGGCCTTTATTGTCTGATTGATTTAGATTTTATTTCTTTTGACTAATCTGACTGCTTGTCCTTGCAGCAGAATCACCCGTTCACTTTTCTTAAAATATTATGCTTTTGTGAGATGCCCTGTCTTTCATGCTTCCTTGCAGGTGTTCAACGCTTGCTGTATCTGAACTAATAACGAAGACAGTATATTCTGGTTTTCGTTGTTTAACATGAATACTGATTTCAAGTTTGGAGTTGCAGGATAGGAGGAAAGAGTTTCAATTATTCCCTGTAATAATTTGTGATTCATTTGGTGTCAATTTGGCATTTCGGATGTCACTAAGTGGTTTCCAAGAGGTACAATGTTAGCATATTGAATTTTTTTCTGCCTCTGAAGTGGATCTATCTATCATTCCTTTTAAATTGATATACACTGTTGTCTGCTGATGATAATGATTCTATATTCAGCTGCGAGATGAGGCTGCTCTAGCTCTTAGTTGCATTGATAAATGTAAAGATGGTGGCTTTGATGAGATGTTTATGACCAAGATTGATTTTCCTGCCAAATTCGATTATTGCACAAGGTACGGTACATCTTTATGAGGTCCAATAGTTTTAATACTTTGAACCTTTTGCCCTGTACTGTCATTGATGGTTCGGTTTGGAAGTATAATGGATTCTTTGAACATTTGACAGAGAATATATGTCAATTAACTTGTATTTCATTAGCGTCTAGCTTCTTGCACTTACTCACATGCTAGGTTTTAGGTTGAACTTGAAGGGTAGCCGTGAAGTCTATTCTTGTGGATTTTGTTTGGATGAAGAATGTTGGAGAACATATGAGCAGAAGGTACTCTCTCTAATAGACCAAGCGTTGAGAGGGAGAACTAAGCTTGTTCGTGTTATCTGGAGAAATGCTACTTCTGAATGCAATATTGAAGATGTACGATACTCAACAATGATGTACTAATGTGATCTTTGAAATTTTATGGCATGAATTGGATATATTTGATATGAAACATGTTGTAACTGTCATAATCCAGGGTTTATCCACGTTAGATGGAGAGGAATTGCTTATAGGGATCTCAATAAACTCTGTGGAGGAAGCATTTAAACAGGCTGTCATGGGTCCAAGTTCGGAAGAGAAAGATAAGGTGGTAGATTTCAGAATGAGAAGTTAATTTTATCAGTACTTTATGCCCATTCTAATTTAATTATTAATGGTTTTTACATCTTACTTTAGGCTGTTGAATTTCGAAAGTTTTGGGGTGATAAGGCAACACTAAGATGGTTTCGTGATGGTAAAATTGCTGAAGTTGCAGGTGAGGCATTGATATATCTGCTTCTCTTTTCTGCCTGGTGTGAGATCACTAATTTTTATAATAATATGCTTCTTCGGTTACCTTAACCGATAGTATGGGAGCACGAGGAGTCGGAAAGGCATCTCATCATAAAAGAAATTATCGAGCATGTTCTATCACGCCATCTTTCCCTTCCGAAAGAAAATATCATTTCCATTGTAGATCAACTTGATTTTTCACTTTGCCTTGGCAACAAAGGTATGGCTGTATGTGATGAAGTTTATTCTTTCATTCTTATGAAATGCTTAAGGACTACGCGTGATCATTAACATGGATTTATGAACTACAGATCCTATAACATTTTCGGCGAACCTATTGAAGGCATTCGATAACCTCTCAAAACATTTGCGCCTCCTTGATGATATTCCTCTCAGGGTCTCCAGTGTGCAACCTCTGGATTCAGGTCTCTTTTTCAACTAAAGATCTCTCCTCTTCCTTGCTAATACATATAGTCACATGATCATACAATTTTAGGTTTCTCATGGTACTGCAGTTTATCTTTTCACACCTTCAAAAATGATTGATTGATACCTAAATTTCAAGCTGAAGTACACTAGCTAAAAATGTTGACTTGGTGCTTAAGCTCCTTTTATTGATTTGCATGTGGTTTTTAGGCTATCAAATGATCATTATTTTCCCCTCTCGAAGAACTTGTATTTTTTAAAGGAAATTATCATGAAGAAAATGAACTCTAGCAGAATAAAGAGACCAAATTAAAATGAACTCAGCAATGATTTTTTTTTTCTAAATGTTCAAATAGTCATAGAAAAATAAATTTACAAGTATTGCACAAGTACCAGGTAAAATGTACTAGAGCCTAGGTTAACTCATGCTTGACCCAAATTTGATAGCTTGAAGTGACTAGCCAAAAGAGTAACCTATAAGCAATGCCTTGTAGCCTTGTACTCTTTTTGCAAGCTCAACCCAGATTATACCAAAAGCTCAGATGTTGGGCAGTGTTTTCAAAACTGCCTCCGTTTGAATGCTACTTAGGAGCCTCGAAGCTTATAATCTGAGTTCCCTATGTCAAGGCTTCTACTTTGACTTACTAGTGTGCACGGTTTTGTGCCAGTCTCAGTTTTGTTTCTGATAGATGAGAAAATGTAAAGAACTTCACAAGTTGAAAACTAGACATTCAAATTTGTTGATATATATATACATTTTTTTTTTTTTAATTTTTTTTTTTTTAAGGATCTTTTAGATACAATTTGACACCCAACTAACTGTTGTACCACCCTCGTGTATACATATTCAGTAGTACTCTTCTTGCTATCAATATTTCCTACCATGTCAGTGTCTACACAGCCCTGTAATTCTATAACTTGATTTTCTGAAACATAAGGCTATGTCTGAATTACCTCTCAAGTATTTAAGAATCCACTTTACTGCCTTCAAATGCTGTTTGCAATCTATTAACAACTCTCACTACATGTGCTATGTCCGGTCTTGTACATACCATGGCATACATAAGATTGCCAATAACAGATGCATAAGGTAACTTGGCCATGTAGGCTCGCTCCTACATTGTAAAGTGATGCTCATTTGATAGCTTGAAGTGACTAGTCAAAAGAGTACGAACTGATTTTGCATCATTCATGTTGAACTTGCTTAGAACCTTATCACAATCTTCCTGTGACAATTTCAAGACGTCACTGTCCCTAGTAATTCTCATTCAAGGATTTGTTTTGCAACACCAAAGTCATTCATTGCAAACTTCCTATATAATAAATTTTTCAACTTATCTATTTTTTGTTTGCAAGCACACGCAATTAATATGTCATCAACATATAGCAGCATGATAATATAGGAGTTACCAAGGTTCTTTACATAGCAACAATGATCATGACACCTTCTGAAGCCATTACTACTCATAACACTATCAAACTTCTTATATCACTGTCTTGGAGCTTATTTAAGACGATATCAAATGTGAAGTTTGTATACCATTCTCATTTTTCTAGTACTTCAAAACCTTGTGGTGCATCATATAAATTTCTTTATCCAAATCACCATGATGATCTCACTGCAGAGGTCAATCCGTGACCAACTTTACGAAGTGCCAATAATTAGGCTCCACAACATAACAATTTATACATGAGAAAGATGTGTTATAGTGATAATCTAGTTTTTAATAACTATATTATATTTATTATTTTTTCTAAAGTAGAGCTGTCGGTACTTAGTTGTTGATTGTGAGGAAGGCCTCAATGTTATCTTGACATGAAACAGAAACTTCAGCGATCTTCCCTTTTGCTTCACCATCAGGCTATGGTGAATAATGAACAAGGAACAATTGATGAGGATCTGACCTTATATCATTTTAGAGCCTTCATCATTTATTCCTCCTCTTCTTTATCTAGCCGCATTGCACCAACATGGATCTAATAATCTATTGGTGTACATTCAAAGTTAGATAAAATTGCTTCTTACCCTTATTTTTGTGTAAAGGATCTAGTAGGTTGAGTAGCGATTGCTATCCTTATTATTATCCTTATTATTATTTTTTTTTTTTCAGTTGGATTCTTTATGCTTCTAATGTTTTACGGCATCCTGAAAATTATATACGTGTTAATCTGAAGTCCACCCCGCCACAACTTGAATTCGAAATGTTAGTGAAACACTAGATTTCTTATCTATAAGATTTTTTGTAAAAAATACCAATTGAATATAGGGTTTCTTCAAACAACAAGGGGTTGCGTCAACTATTCAATCAAATGATGTCGAGCATGTTTCCCATTTCTCTGGAGAAACAAGTGGAGAAACGATTGGGCTGTTTCTTTTTCTTTATAAAATTGTGCTCAATTTTATATGCGGCAATTCGACCAAGATCTCTTCCTTAGATGGGGGCATGGTGATCTCTTCCATGCCCCGATCCATGGAGCCCTTACCTCTGGTTGTGAGGACCTAGTAATCCCTGACCTAGGGAATGAAATGAATTCAACAGCGGGGCAAAACAAAGCTTGTTACACACATTATCCTCATCATCGATGATTAAATTTCTGCTTAGTAACACGTAGCTTCAATAATGAATTCCCAAAGAAATACAAGTACTAGCAATTTAGCTTTTATTTACAATGCATAACGCTGGAATACGGTATATCAAGACAGTATTGGTGTTACTGAGTGAGTTTTATGTGAAGGGGAGAGAGACGGAGGGAGGCCTGCCATCCACCCTAAAAAAAGCAAGAATATGGCATACGAAGACAGTGTTTGTGTTACTGACTTTTTTTTAATGAAAAATCACACAGCATTGTTGAGTGGACTTTTTGTGAAAAATCACACGGTATGATTGAGTGAACTTTTTGTGCTTACTTGTACACACAGCTTTCAGGTTAACATCTGTCTTTCCTCCTCAACCTCATCCTTTGGCATATGAAGACAGTGTTGGTGTAAAGCCGCAGAAACTCACTTCAACCTGTATACAACCACTTGAAGTCATGATTCAGGCATGGATAACTGATTGCATTTGTTCTGTTTGTTTATTCTTCCCAATGGTTTCTGAAATTTTATATTTATTGTTCTTGTAGCTGGAAGGTTCAGGAAACTGGCCGATGGATGAGCTTGCAATGGAGAAGACTAAATCAGCATTCCTTATGAAAATTGGTGAAAGGTTGGTTTGGTTTAGATTTGTAATGTGGAAATACTTGCAATATGAATGATTTATCTATCATATTATAATGACAGCCTTCAAGAGAAATGGGGGATTAGTTGCACAGCTACAGAGGAGGATGTAGATGTTTTCACGTCCGGATATGCTTTTCGTCTTAAAATTTTGCATGAGAGGGGTCTGGGCTTGGTGCAAAGGCAAGGTGAGAAACTCTTTCGTTTGATAGTCCAACACATTCTAAGGGATCTTGGGGTGTTGCGCTTACAGGAATGAATTTCCATTTCATAGGGAATGCTCATGTGAAGCGGGTACTATCCTCAGACAAGAAACTATTTGTTTGTGGTCAGCATTCCAGCATGATCAATGGTTTACGGGGTCGTTATCCAATATATGGACCAGTTGTTCGGTGAGAATTTGAGCACATCCTCCTACCCCACATTCCTTCCCACGGAGCCAGTTTTTGAAATTTTTTTGCTACTCCGTGCAGGCTTGCAAAACGATGGGTGTCCGCACATCTTTTCTCGAACTCGTTGACAGAAGATGCCATTGAGCTACTGGTTGCTTATCTCTTTTTGAAGCCTTTACCATTTAGACCTCCTTCTTCCCGAATAACTGGATTTTTAAGGTTGATTCCATTTTCATGTATATAAGTGATTTATGCATACTCTACTCTCTCACTCTCACTGTAAAACATTCGCGTGCATACACAGCTTCTTCCCTATAAAAACATTCCTTGTTGAGGTACTTCCTTTTGAAGTCTTAGTGAAATGTGTATTCCTTTTATACATTATGCCATTTGAATTCTTTGTCATGCCATAAAGGGAAGGGTAGAGCAATAAATACTAAGTGTTAAAAGATGTGGAACAATTTCGTTTCTCTCCTGTTCCCCTGTCATTCCCTGTTATGAATCCAAACATGAAAGTCAGAAATCCTCCATTCCTTTTGGTTATCCTGATCAAGATGAATCTTGAGAAATGTCGCATTCCCCACGCTGTCATTAATCTCCACCGTTCTGCCAATTATTACATCAAATTTGCTTTAAGTTTTGAGACCATGATGAATGACCGTAATTTGGATTAATTGTGAGTTTCATGTTTTTCTGTGCAACAGCCAATTGTAACTAAAAGAACCTAACAATGATAGGCTCCTCTGGCTTTTCTCTTTTTGTTCTCCTCAAATGATTGTGGTTATTTGAGACACTCCTAATGCATGCAATTCCTGCTTAGCTTACTTTGTGAAGGCTGATTCTTCGTGATTTTCCCATAAATTAATTAATGTCTCGTATGCACATTGATGTGGTTGTAGATTCTTACGGTTACTGTCAGAATATGACTGGAGTTTTTCTTCATTAATTGTTGACATTAATGGTGATTTGACTCCTCAAGATGGAAAAGAAATCAATGTAAGTGCTGCAGCTCAAGTAGTTGGCCGTGAGTGGTCTTTATTAGTTTCTATCTTCACCGTCCTTCCGTTTCAGAGTATTTGTATGAAATAATGCTCTATACATTTTGTTGCATAGGATAATTTCATGTCAAATCGAAGAGAGTACAGAGATGATATGCAGAATATAAGCCCAGCCATGTTCATAGCCACAGCTTATGATAAAGCATCTGAAGCTTGGACCAGGGCCTCACCAACTGCAGCAGTGAGTAACGCTTGATATTTTAATTGGTTTAATCGTAATTCTAAAAAGTATCTTATTATGTTGCTTGGAACTTGTGCTATAAGGTTCTGCTTGTTAGAGTTGCTGATAATTCGCAAAAATGTGTATTTAATGTATATTATTTCTGATTGTTCTTTATTTCAATCTATCACTATCTCTTTCCAAATAAATTTCTCTTAAAATCTATCACAACTGGAAATAACAGTAGACATTCGTTCTCTTAATATATGTGGTTGAGAATTGAATTCGACTATGCCCCCGTTTGGCCCCCATTTTCTCTAAATGAAAATGGGTGGAATAGTGTTTTTTTGAAAAATGAGTGGTTGAAAAAGAAGGAAAAGTTTTCGATTTACGTATAATATTATTTTATGGAAGATTGTGTGGTTAAAAATAAGAGAGAGAAATGAAATGTAATGTAATTGAATTTAATGGGGGCTATATTTGAAGTATTATAAGAGCCTATTTGTTCTGGATATGCTGGGAAAATGGGTTTACTTCATTTGCATTGACACAAGTGGTATTGATATATTAGGAACTTAGAAGATTGGCAGCATATGCAGCCAGCAGTGCAAAGTTGTTGACCAGTCTCATTATGCAGAATCTGAATGATTCTTACAGATGGGAAGTGAGTGAAATGACATATTTTCCTACTTACAATTTTTGTTCCTTCTGTTTTTCCTTGGTAATGATGTTCTAATTTTTTTTCTTTTCCAGTGCCTTTTCCGCACGCCTTTGAACAACTACAATGCTGTTATTCTTCTCCACAGAGATAAATTACCTTTTCCGCACCATCTTCTTTTCCCGTCTGAAATCAATCAAGGTTTTTACGTCACAGCTTGTACACATACTCATTGAGCCCTAAATCTGTGTGAACACAGATATGCAACCATTTCTTTGGAATTTTGTCTAAAATATATATATTTATATTTGACGCAGGGAGGCACATTGTGCGTGGGAATCCTAGCGAGATTTTCCACCCTTTCTTGATACCTGGTGACCTCAGGGGAAGCTTGGAGGAAATGAAGAATAAACTGATGGTGAACTTCGATCCACTTGGACATTTTACACGTGACATTGAGGCAAGTAATGTTATTTCGGCAGATTTTAAATATTACTTGCTATAACTAGTGTTTCAAAGGGATGAACATTCCAAGAGATTTTTCTTTTATCACATCTGCAGAGAGAGTTTCCTGATGAGTTCAAGGTTTGGTATGATTCTTTGGGCGGTGATGCTGTTGGTCTTACGTTGAGAAATAAAAGTTCAAAGGTATATTCGGGGTTCACTTATGAGGCTTTGACAACATTTAGAGCATGTATGGCTAAGATTAAAAGTGACTTAAAGTCACCCTTTTTGCTAAACTTGTTTTCTGAAAGATGCCATTTTTGGTATAAGGTTCTCACCTTAAGTTTTACTGTAAAAAAGTAAGTTTAAGCTTTAGCCTAACATGCTCTAATAAGTAGTTTCCTTCTTGATCCTGGATTGTGTTTGCAGAAGCGGGGAAGAGATGTGAATTGTGAGGATAAAGATCTAATCGATTCATTGAGAGCTGTTGGTGAGCTCGGGAAAGGGTTTGTTAGAAATATATATTTGCTGAAGGCTCCAAAAGTAAATAGTTGAACTATTTGGTGTTTTTTTTCTTCTTTCTTTTTACGGTTTTATACAAGTTGTACCTGCTCGAGATTATTGTAGTTAGGCGTAAGTTACTGATGAGCAGCATTTTTGTGCATCATTAACGCGGTAGATTGTGGTTTTTATAGATGATAATGTGCTGTTTAAAATTACACTTTCTTAGTTGACAGTTTAAAATTCAAAAACCTTTCCTGATTGACAGAACGTTTCGCTCCTGACACTTGAAAAAGCAGCTCGATTGTCCACTAAGGTGTGACAGATTTGGTTGGGGGTTTCTTTGTTGGGATTGAGAGGAGAAAAAACCCCTTGAAATTATGAGAAGTGTCTCTTGTGACAAATTTCATTGATATTAGAATAATATAATGATTCTCTCGCTTTATTTTTATATTTTTTCTTTTCTAGTGTCGGATTTTATTTTACTTTTCGTCTCATTCTTACTTTTCACCCCCTCAAAGTTAAAGTTTCCAAAGAAAATTGGGTTCAATGTACTTTTTAGTAAATAAGGAAAAGACAAAAGGTGCCTTCGATACTTTGATTGTGGGGGTAGCTAATATATTATCTTTTTGAGGGAAATTAATGTATTTGAGTCAAAAATGAGAGAGGAAAATTTACTATTTTTGTCGACTAAATTTCTTATTCTGAATGCACGGGTCTTTTAAATTTACTTTCGGTTTTTCTTTTTTATTTTTTCAAGCAAATTTCTGAGTGTTTTTTTTATTTTTTGGGGTTGAGATGTCCATGATTAAAAATCAAATACGATAAGAAATAGAATAAAAATGAAACTTAACAAAAAAGACGTATCGTTATTTGAGTGGTTATTTGGAAAAAAAAAAAATGCAAGGGAGAAACTTTGCCCTATTTTGGTAGGGATTTAAATCAGATTTTTAATGAGTTAATTTCACAAACGGTCACTGAATTTAATAAAAAATCACAAAACAGTCACTGAAGTTTAAAACTTTCATAAATGGTCACTTAAATTTCAGGCGGTTTTATTAATGGTCACTGAAGTTTTTAAAACTTTCACAAATGGTCACTTCAAGTACCAAAATGATTCTAATTCAAACTCTGATTAAAAATCAAATACGATAAGAAATAGAATAAAAATGAAACTTAACAAAAAAGACGTATCGTTATTTGAGTGGTTATTTGGGAAAAAAAAAATGCAAGGGAGAAACTTTGCCCTATTTTGGTAGGGATTTAAATTAGATTTTTAATGAGTTAATTTCACAAACGGTTACTGAACTTAATAAAAAATTACAAAACGATCACTGAAGTTTAAAACTTTCATAAACGGTCACTTAAATTTCAGGCGGTTTCACTAATGGTCACTGAAGTTTTTAAAACTTTCACAAATGGTCACTTCAGGTACCAAAATGATTCTAATTCAAAGTTAATGACCGAAATACGTGACCATACAAATTTTAGAGGACCCCAGGTGCAAAATGTTTTCCTCCCACTTCCATGTTCATTCTCCTTCTTCGGCGCCAGTGGATTCAAGGCCAAAATCGAGCACCCTACCGCCGAATAAACCACCGGATTTTTACACCACAAACACACCCTCATCACCCTCCACAATTTTATACCAATAATCAACCAAAATACATAAAAAAAAAATGAAATGAAATGAAATGAAATGAAATTCAGGTCCAAAAAAACTGTAATCACGCACGATTTTCCTCCAATTCCAGCCAACCCACCATCACCCATACCAAAACTCCATCACAGGCTATTAGTACTCCCCAAGACGAACATGTACATGGTCCCATGCCATCACAAAACAATTTAAATCTAAATCTAAATGATACCAGTTTGAAGGCAGCTGGCAACGAACTTTCCTCTCCAATTTCCGGCGCCGGCATCAACAATTACGGTCGGGAACCACCACCATTACCTTCTACTCATCATGGCGAACAAGATGCACATATGGTTCCTCACCAATTTATTTCGAATCAGCCAATTTCTGTTCATGCATCTTCTACGTTCGAACGGCTGTCGAAACGATTTCAATTGAGCACTCAAATTTGATTCAACCTATAAATAAACACGGGGAAACTGAAATTCATCATCAAACAACACTGGGTAACCTTTCAATTGCAGAAATTACATCACCAGTTCATCAAATTTTGAGGTCAAATGCTTGAAGTGCCACCGAAAATTGAAGGGAGAAGGAAAATGGGAGGAAAATTTTTTGCAGCTGAGGTCCTCTGAAATTTTTATGGTCACGTATTTCGGTCCTAAAATTTGAATTAGAATCATTTTGGTACATGAAGTGATGATTTGTGAAAGTTTTAAAAACTTCAATGACCTTTAGTGAAACCGCCTGAAATTTAAGTGACTGTTCATGAAAGTTTTAAACTTCAGTGACAATTTTGTAATTTTTGGTTAAGTTCAATGACCGTTTGTGAAATTAACCCGATTTTTAATAGATTTTGATAAAAGTTGACAATGCATGGTTGAAAAATTGTAGGTTCATGAAACATGTGATTAAACTTCATTTTTACTTTGAGTTCGATTAAAATTCGAATTTTAAATTTTACGAGGGAGTGGGCATAGTATTTAGTAGAATGTGACATACAAATGACTTTTATTGTGATTTTTTATGGCAATCGTATCACATAGGCATATACGACTATCTTATTGAAGCTTTTCTTCTTGTCAAGGAAATCGAATGTTTTATTGATGTAATTATTAACTTCGTCTAAAAAGTTTAATTTTTAACGACTTCTCAACTCAACTTTTAGATCTTATTTGAAATATTAATGTTAAAATTCAATAGGTTGGTCTTGAGTTTGGAATTTAAAAAATATCCGCATCAATAATGAAAGTAAATGAATGATTTTCTATCCGATTTCTTTTATTGTGGAACTTCAAGAAACTGATTAACGTACAACTTTTTATTTATAAATATTAAATAAATTACCAAAAGTAACATAAATTGGTCCCATGGTCTAGTGGTTAGGACATTGGACTCTGAATCCAGTAACCCGAGTTCAAATCTCGGTGGGACCTTTCTTTTTTATTGTTTTTTCCTTTTGACACATACAATGATGCATTTTTTAATTTTTTTATATTTTAATATATATTTTTCCTCTTGAAATTAATTGATATCTGAGGCTCGGTTTATCACAATTATTATTTTCTCAACATTCTCGATCGCGATTTACACCAAATATATTTTTCTAATTTTAAGTTTATTTAAAGCCTAGTTAAATCAAGAAAATTAAAACTAAAAAAAAATATATGTATTTTTCATAAACAGAACCTCGATCACGTCAAAAGTATCTCTAGAGCAATAACAACATAATAATTTAGTAAAAAAAAATTATCTGCTTAATTAGTCAAAATGAAAAATAATTTTGGGGTTTTCAAACACAGTGCAGGCAGGGATGTATCAGCTTATCTTGTAAGCTAACCGTCGTCCATTTGAGGTCACTAAAACCTAGAAAATGCCTAAGCAATTTGAGGTTTGCGCCAAGTTATTATGGGGGCATGTGTTTCCCATTGGGTTAATGCAGGGACGGAT